AGACCCTGGGTTTGATTCCCAGTACCTAAAAAGGAAGGAGTTGAGATTGTGAATATGTTGACTTTAAGATGTGTCCTAGGAACCAGCTAGGAAGTAGTCAGATGTACCACCCAAAAGACAGACAAGAAATCAAGGAGGGAGATGCTGGTCGGGCAGCTGTTAACATACAGCAAACCCTTGGTGAATGTGTGAAATGGGAAGAGAACAGGGCCACCAACAGAACCCTGGGGCTGCTAATATCAGGTGCATCAGAGGGAGAAGCACCTACCTGGTGTCTGTGCATTTGGGCAGGTTTCTTGCCTCCTCTCTACCCAGCCTGTTTTCTCCCCATGACTTGCGTCCAGCCTATGCATCATTTCTGCTGGATGCTGTGGCCTCTCTGTCTGCCTCTTCGGGGATATTGTGGTTTCCGTTTCTAAACAGCCTTATTCTGTTAGTATTTAAGGTTAATATATATATATATATGAATGAAAAAAAAATATATATATATAAACCTTTGGAAGAGAATTGAGTGGTCCCAGCTTATCATACAGAGTCACTGTGGCACAAGTCATCAGATTCAGTTAAATGACCTGAGACCAGGTGCCCTCTATGGTCCAATGGGCTGTTTCTCTATTTCAGGGCCTAGGATGAATCCAGACTGATTGTTCCGGCTTTGGGGACAGGAGGGTTGACTTTACCAGCATTGTATTTGGGGAACACAGGATTCTGTCAAAATGGAAAGATTATAGGTTCACCTCTCACTGCTAGCCTCACGTGGCCCTGATGCTGTCTTGGGCAGGGGACCATCTTAATAGGAACTGAATTTTGGATCCCAACCACAGTTTTCCAGTCCAGGGGGGCAAAACTCACATGACTATAGTCGTCTTCCCTTAGGCCGACTGGCAGTCTCTGTGGTCTTGTGTTGCTCAACATGAGAGTTGGTCATTGGGCTGCGTGGGCCTTCCAGCCACTCATCCATCTGAAGGCCACCCTCATGCATGAGGAGTCCCTGGGTCACAGTCACTGGCTCTGGAAGTCGAGTCCGGCCTTCTCTTAAAGACAGACCCTCTGGGCAGGGCTGCACCTGCAGGGCTGGCAGAGCCGAGGAGGTGCCAGCATTACTACCTGGGGACCATCCTGGATTGTGAGAGAACTAGAAAGCACTGTCAACTCTCCAAATTCCTACTGGGTTTCCTTATACACAGACAAGAATCTTTCACAAGATTGCGTTTTAAGAGCCACAGTGGGCTCCAGGAGAGGCGGGAATCCACAAGAGCCAATGAGCTTCTCTAACCCAAATCCAATGAAGCTCAGCTTCAGTGGAGATGTTTCCTTGTGTGGGTTCAGGAGAAGCCATGAGGGTGGGTGGCTGAGTGGTGACCTGCTGCCGCTCTCCTGAGGCCAACACCTAGGTAGTGGCCCCTGCCCACGTTCCCTGCTGGGGAACAGGCTGAAAGCAGATAGGCGCGGTATTCCTGCGCCACAGTGGACCCTTGCCATTTGCTGCTCACTGGACCCTTGCCAGGGCGTTCTCAGCTGTGGCAGAGAGATGCCCCTCCTTGCGTAACTGGACAAAGCAAAACAGCCAGAACAATGCCCCAGACACCAAGAGGCTCCTGGTGAAAGGGAGACAGGCACATACTTGACCTAATTATTGGGGGACCCAGAGGGCGGCTGGCGTTGAGCCCATGACGTTGTTGCAGTTGAGTCTGTCCAGTCTGTCCAGAAAGGACTTCGTGGTCATGTGAGATGCTTGGGGGCAGGGGAAGCTCTGAGCAGTGGGCTGCTCCTGCAGCTCTCACCTGCAGAACTGACCTGGATGAGGACGGAGGGAGCAGAAGCCTGGAGACGATCGAGCAAACTGCAAGTCTAACCTCAAAATTACTCATCTTCTTCAAACCTGCCAGACTTTTTAAAATACCTCTGTGACTTGGTGCATGCTGCATTCTAACCCTGGAATGGCTTCCTTTGCCTTCTCTAACTTGAAAAATCCAACATAATCTTCAGGGTCCAGCTCAGGTTCATCTTTATAAAGTCTCTGGAACTCCCCACATTGCATAAGCAGCCCTTTGTTATGCTTCTACACACCTTTGCACTTGTGCTTTTGTTACATGACTTCTCAAATTGTATTCTCAAATTGTATTCTACTCTTATGTAGGATAATATCCTGAAATAATATTTGGCTCAAAATTAGGCTCAGCCCTACAGAATGGGAGCAAGTTTTACCACACTCATATCTGATAGAGCACCAAACTCTGGATGTACAAAGAACTCAAAAATCTTAACACCAAAAACCAAATAATCCAACCAATAAATGGGCCAAGGACCTGAACAGACACTTCTCAGAAGAGGATATAAAATCAATCAGCAAATATACGAAACCATGTTCAACATCTCTAGCAATTAGAGAAATGCAAATCAAAACTACTCTAAGATTTCATCTCTAGTCAGAATGGCATTATTAGAATACAAACAACAATAAGTGTAGGTGAGGATGTGGGGAGAAAGACACACTCATACACTGCTGGTGGGACTGCAAATTGGTACAGCCAATATGGAAAGCAGTATGGAGATTCCTTTGAAACTGAAAATGGAACCACCATTTGACCCAGCTATCCCTCTCCTCAATCTATACCCAAAGGACTTAAAAACTGCATACTATAGGGACACAGCCACATCAATTTTTATAGCAGTACAATTCACAATAGCTAAACTGTGGAACCAACCTAGATGCCCTTCAGTAGATGAATGGATAAAGAAAATGTGACACACACACACACACACACACAATGGAATATTACTTAGCATTAAAGAGAAAATAAAATCATGGCACTTGCAGGTAAATGGATGGAATTGGAAAATATAATGCTAAGTGAAGTAAGCCAATCCCAAAACCCAAATGCTGAATGTCTTCTCTGACATAGTATGTGATTCATAATGGGGATGGGGGCAGAGCATGGGAGGATTAGATGAACTCTATATAGGGCAAAGGGGAGGGAGGGAAAGAGAGGGGGCATGGGGTAGGAAAACAGTGGAATGAGACAGACATCATTACCCTAAGTACATGTATGAAAACACAAATGGTGTGACTCTACTTTGTGTACAACCAGAGACATGAAAAATTGTGCTCTATTTGTGTAATATGAATTGAATTGCATTTTAGTTGTCATATATAACAAATTAGAATAAATAAAATTAAAAAATTAAAAAATATTAGGCTCAGCTGTATATAACAACAGCTTAAAGGAGATAAAAGTTTTTTCTTTCTCCTATTTAAGGAGGTAAAAGCAATCAAGAGCTGGTATGGAAACTTTGTAATGACATCATGAATCCAGTTTCCTCCCTATCTTCTCTACCAAACTCAGCTCAGAGCTTTTATTTTCAAGTTTGTCTTATGTCTACAATGACTGCTGTAGCTCCAGCCATCACTTCCATGCTCCAGAATGCAAGAAGAGGGAAGAAAAAGAATGAAATGTCTCTTTTCTTTTAAGGAGAGTTTCTGGAAATACTGCACAATAATTTTACTTCTATATTAGTCAGAACTCAGGTAGCCACATTTAGGGGAAAGCAACTAAAGAAATTATAGTCTTTTATGACAGCAATGTGTCAAAAATAAAAACTGTGCCATAAAGAGACTCCAGGCATGGTGGTACATGCCTATAATCCCTGCTACTCAGAAGACTGAGGCAGAAGGATCACATGTTTGAGCCAGCCTCAGCAACTTAGCAAGACTGTGTCTCAGAATGAAAAAAGGGCTGGGGATATAACTCAGTGGCAAAGTTCTCCTGGAATAAATTCCATCAACACACACACACATACACAATATGAGAAGAGACTAGATTCTGAGAGGCAAATCGGAATCACACTATTCTGATGCAGTTTTTTTTTTCCCCCTTTTTTGGTACTGAGCACATCCCTAGCCCTTTTTTGTATCTTATTTAGAGACAGGGTCTCATGAGTCCCTTACCGTCTCACTAAGTTGCTGAGGCTGGCTTTGAACTTGCGATCCTCTTGCCTCAGTCTCCTGAACCTCTGGGATTACAGGCGTGCACCACCATACCCGGCCTGACAGATTTTGTTCTGGCAATTCTTGGTGCTAACCATTCCTTTGCCTGCTGAAGCTGAGCACTCTGCAGCTTTGGGAAGCGGTTAGAATCCAGGAGAAAACACAGATTACACATATAATGGTTTAAAACTTGCAGTCATAATTTAAGTGTGCAGAAATTTTCCTTTCTTTATTTACTGAACTTGACTTGTCCACAAGCTCCTATTTCCATTAATGGCTAGAAAAAAAGTCATGCAGTCACTTGTATTTTAAAATTAAATCTCTTTGGGGTAAATATTCATCTATGTTCTGGGCTCTTCCTATTTTTTGCTTTCTCACCAGGAGGTGGTCTGGTTACCTGAGGGTCTTCCTGTGGTCCTCTCATTCTCTGGGATCTCCAATAATTAGAAAAAGAATATGTCAGTCTCCCTTTCTACCCAGGAGCCTCTTGGAATCTGGGATGTTCTTTTGACTGATCTGCTTTCTCCAGGGCCTACTGCAGAAGTTGGCGCAAGGAAATGGTTAAAAATGTGATGGATACATTTATGAGTATACTTTAGATGCATCCTATAATTAATTCAAATGGTACCATAATGATCTGGAAATCCTGTACAATTAAAAGTCTATTTCTCTAAAGCCCCTAGCACTATGTTTATAGCTTTCTCGTGGCCCTGGTAATCCTCTCTGTTCTAATGGCTGGTGAGTCTGCCTCACCCCTCATTAGAGTGTCCGCTGCTGAAGAATGTTCCTGAGCTGTGTAACTCTCACAGGTGCCGAAAAAGAGGGGGACATGGAAATGAGTGACCACAGGAGCAGGTGCTGGTACTTGATATGTTACCGCTAATGAGTGACTCCCACCCGGGAAGAAACAGAAGATTTTATTGCAGCCATTTAGAAGGACATCAGTAAAGACAAGTTGACATCTTGCCTTTTGCTGAAATTTAACTTTTTAAAAATTGCTTTTGTTTTTCAGAAATCCACCGCCTACCTTACTGCATCCAGAAAAATGGTGTGAGGAATTCAACCACTTTATTTCACAGTGAGTATTTCTTCCTCTGAACATTGCTTATTTAGCAAGGCCTTGGACGGTGATTGGGGAAATCCAAGCTGTGGAATTTACCGAGTGCTAGAAGTGGCTATGCCTAAGAGCACATTGGGATGTAGGATTTGTTCCAGTGAGTGACAGAGGATGCTTCTGCAGGATCTGAAAAATAAGGAGCTCCATTTGACTCGGTTAAAATCAGTCCCTTTGATCACATGGGTCACATCTATCTGAGAACCTGCTCTGTCATGAACCAAATATTATCACCATGTCATGTCCACTGAGGGAGGAGACTCAGCATCTTAAAAATCTGATGTTCACCCTGGTACCAGGACCAGAGAGAAGACAGAGGTGACAGTCTCTAGCAGGTGTTGCTGCTTGGGTGTTGGGCTTGGCTCTAGGGTCTTGATCATCTAGTTTCCAAGATGATCGGGGGACAAAGTAGGAACTTGGGCCTGGGACAGCACAGTGAGGCTCTCCAATCCAGGCTCAGGTTATAGAGAGAGAACAGGATGAGAATTGATCCAATGGTGTGATGTCAGCTATGCCACCAGGCAGGACTTCCTGAATCTAAGACACAGAACCTACAGTGACACCAGCAGGGTGACCCAATGCTGGGATCCTGGGCCTGGACTTGGAAGAGGACCACACTGGTTCCAAGTCTGCAGGAGATCCTAAGTCTGCTGGAGAGCTCCCAAGGTCCCAAGGTGGGGCCTGGTGAATCGTGGGGTAGGAATCTGGACAATCTACTGCAAGCCATTCCCAGATGCCCCCCCCACCCCCCACCCCCACCCCCCCGGGAAGAGGCGCCCCAGAGCTTAGTGTATCAAGCAAGCTCTTCAGAGGTCATGGAGGAGGACAGAAGTGACCAAATAACTGATAAACACGAAGTAGGGAAGGTCAACACACATTTTTCTCATTGATGCCGACGTGCAAACTTAGCTTCCGTCAAGCATCTGGGCAACAAAACAAACTGGGTGTCTTAATCATCTTCCTTAATCACAGTGTAGGTCTGTAATCCCTTCTCCACAATCCCCAAATCCAAAGAGCTCCGAAAAACCAAATCGCTTTCACAGTTGAGTCATTTAGCAGTAAAACCTGACCTTGTATGAACCGAGTTGGTGGCAACACATGACCCGAACTGATGTGAGGCTATTTATAGTCATTATTTGTCTTACTTAGTGTGAATATTCATGTGTTTTGCTGCAGATATATTAGTATTTGATTACAGTGTGCTGCCCCAGATCCTGCTGGGGGTGTTATGTAATATACAGTAAAATATACCCGTTTACTTATCTAAACTTTGATAAAATTTATTTGGCCCCAAAGGGTTTGGATAAGAGCTGTGGACCTGTATTTCATTTTCATTCCAAATGCAATACAGATCAGGGTCCCTGAAATTGTTGATGGTCTAGTCCCTCCTGGATTTGTGCCACATTCCTCAGGAGGGGCGAGTGGGAAAGAACTGTACCAAGAGAGGCTCTGTGGGAATATGACTGTGAAGGTCAAGGCCAGGGGTGGAGGACCTGCTCTTGTCCTCTAACCCCACTCTGACATTTTTGCTCTGACTGCAGAAGGTACAGCCACAGTCAGGGTGGGCATGCCAGACCAGGGTGGGAGGGACATCAGATACCTGCAGTGGGGATGGTGCTCTCCAGGAGCAGAGGAAGGGCACCTTCCTGAGGTTTGGGAGTCTCAAGAGGAAGAGGGAACAGAGAGCTGAGGATATGCCCTGGGCTTGGGGGCCACATTTTTAGACCACCCCCAAGAAAGAAATCTGGGAGCTAAGGTTCCAGTGATTTTGTTGGCAAGGACCGATCCAAACATTTTTTCCTTTTCATTCCGTTGCTGTACACAGATACCCTTGATTGACCTTCCTAAGGTGTTGGCCTAGAAAAATCCATTACCCATTCACTGATGCACCTTCTCATTCCAAGTTTTCCTGATGCTTCTCAAATGTGATTTGACTCATAGAAATTTGGCTTCCGTATACTTTTTCAAGAGTAAGTTTGTGTTCTTAAAACAACCGTGGTATTGCTTGGATGGATTTGACAATAAAAGTACATCATTGACGACAGGGTTGGGGGCTTTTAGGGCTATACACAACATAGAAATTCTTCCCCACCCTGACATTTCCTTACAGCAAATCAATCTCCCTCTCCCTTTCCCTCTCTCCCTCCCCACTGCCCCCGCTCTTTCTCTCCTGTAGTATGGGGACTGAATTCAGGGGCACTCTAACACTGAGGTCCATCCTTTTTATTTATTATTTTGAGTTAGTCACTCAGGCTAGCCTTGAACCTGTGATCCTCCTGCCTTAGCCTCCTGAGTCACTGGGATAACAGGTGCGCACCACCATGCCTGGCTCAATCTTCTCTTTCTTGAATAAGTTGTTTTTATTTTTTTATTAGTGAATATGTTATATATTTATAGATGTTCATAGATTCTTTCTTGACCTCAGCTGCACAATCCTCTTTTTCCTATTAACATTTTAGATTTTTCAACCATGAATTCTCCTTCTAACAATAGTTTTAGGAATTTTCAAGACTGGGGACTGATCATGACATTTCATATCTTTAAGTCAAAAACCTGCCCACTATTTCCAAACAGTTATCCTTTGGTTTTGTAAATGAGGTGGCCTACCCTAAGCTGTAGTCACTCAACCTACCAAAAGTGATTTCGCTGTATTTATTCAATTCCCTAATTAAATATAAACAATGGCACTTCCTGGGTTTGAAATGTCTATTTAAAGAGAGAGCTTTGGTTTGCTTTTCTACTTACCTTGCTTGTACTGGAAAAGAAGGGTGGAGGATTAAGGTCTTCAGATTGTAAGCTTTCAATTATTGAAGGGACTGGGGCGGAGAAGATGATTGATTGATTAACTGGTAATTTTAGGAAAATTGTTTCTAGCCCGAGTTATTCAGATAATTGCTTCAGTTCCCTTTGCAGACCAAGTCACAGAGCATTGGATTCAGGTCAACAAAATGGATTCTCTCTAAAGAACAAATAGGACTAGAAATTGCTTAACAGTTTTAAAAACCTTGATACCTTGTCGCCATGTAAACTGCAGACCCATTATCCATTTGGTCATTTAGGGCTTTCTCAATTCATGCTGGTCACTCCTCTCCAAAGGACCTGTGGGACATCTCATTGGCTGCAGGGGTCTGAATGGGTCAGGTTGGCTGCAGCCTAGTGATCACAGCAGTGTGGACAGGGGATAGGCCATGTGAGCGCAGGCGCACAGGCATCCAGGAGGGCCAGCAAGGTAAGGCGGCAGCAACCCTGGATGTGGCCAAGTATTGTTCAGATTTGCTTCTCGCCTCCTTATTGGGAGACAGGAGATATATTTTTAAAGTCTAAAATCCTATTAGCAAACCTATCTTGGGGTTTAAAAGGAAAGAAAAAAAAAAGTTACCCTGTTTGGTTCTGAACCTTTGGTTGTTAGTGATAATTGACTCATTTATATGTGTTAGTTATGCATTTGTCAAAGCATGACTCCTGACAGCTTAGTTATGATAAATTAAACACGATGCTCACATAAATTCTGCACTGCTTTTATCCCTGTGCTAGGACCCTGCCTGATGTTTTTGTCACCTCTATAAACGTGCAGTTGGCTTTGTAGCAATTTCATTATCAGCCCTTTCCCCTATGGCTAAAGCTATTTGCATAACAAGTTTATCTGGTTCAAGTACCAGCCAGACTTCTGCTTCGTCTGGGGGCTCCATTCAGAAGTGGCCTTTTGATAAGATAACAATAATTTTCATTTGTAAACTCCAACTTGGTCCCAATTGCCCACCTCCCCGCAACCCCTTTGTTAACTTCAAACTCATTTTAGGCCTTTGGACTAAACTATAAAAATTCTTTCCTAATCATGGGTCCAAAGGCAATGTGAGCTATACTCTGTTTTGCCTCCGAAACTTTTGGGGTTTTATGGAGAATTAGATTTAGGACTTCATCATCAATGGTTTTTGAGCTGATTATGGAGACAATAAAGATGGATTTCCCTTGGTCAAGGGCACATCCAGCAAGAGCATCACTCCAGCTCAGCTTTGGATTTAAGGATGACACTATATGATCATCCACACATAAACTGCTTTCTTGGGGTGACTCACTTGGGCAGCGTAGAGGAGAAAAAGTGGTATCTTTTCCTCACGTGTTGCGAGGTTCATGACTGATACCCCTATAACAAAAGACAGATTAACAAGAGAAAAGCCTAACAAATTTATTTATTGTAAGTTGGGTGACAAGGGAGCCTTCAGAAATGAAGGCCCAAGGACTTAGCGGGGGGGGGGGTGAGGGGGAACCTGTGTTATCATAGTCAGGTGTGATGAAGCTTAGACAGTAGCGCAGAGTATGACATAAAAAGGCTAATGTACTGGGGAGAACTTGGCACGACCTGCCTGTTCAGTTGTCTCTGGAACTCACGGTTAAGATTAAGGGCACAACTTGTGTCACAGGAGGCTCTTCCTCAGACAGCAGGTGGGAGGTCAGAGGGGTCTGCCTCTGCAGTTTTCTTGATTTCCTTCATCTTGAAGTACTCAGAGGAGCCCTGTGTGGGGGTAGTGTTCCCTGTGCTCCTTCTGTGGCTGGTGCACAGGTCTCTGTCCCAGAGGGAGTTAGGTGAGTGCTGCAGTTAGTCACAAGATGTTGGGGCAGGCGTTCCTGTCCCTCCAGGTGACAACCACATGGGCCTAGACTTTGTGCTGAACGTGAGTGCTGAATTGTTAACCCAATGAGACCACTCTGAGCTGCAAACTTATGACATTTGCATGTGTTTATTCCTTAAAAACCCAAACCCAGCTCAGGCTGGAACACTCGGGGGTTCTCTGTAGGACTGGTGCATCATTTGGAGCGACTATTTCTTTGACAAGGATTGTATTTCCCTCAAGACAACACTCCTCAGCTCTGCTCCCCACTCTGTGTTTCAAGGCTGCTTGATGCCACGTGGGTCTATAAGGTCAGCAAACAACGGATTTGCACTGGTAAAAAAATCCTCACCC